ATCTCAGGGAAGTGCTAACATCATGTGGGAGGATATGGCTAAAAAGATACGAGAGGTTGCAAAGTAGTTTTGGGAAAATCAAAAGGTTTTAGTCCGAGAGATAAGGAGTCTTGGTGGTGGAATAATAGTATATAGGACAAAATCAAGTATAAGAAGAACTGTTTTAAAGCCATACATTTGTGTAACAATGAGGAAAATTGGGAGAGGTACCGTATGGCTAAGAAGGAAACTAAGAGAGTTGTGGGTGAAGCTCATTCTAAAACTTTTGAAGAATTTTATAAGAGCCTTGAGACGAAGGAAGGAGAGCGAAACATTTATAAGATTGCCAAGAGTAGGGAAAGAAAATTAAGAGATCTAGAACAGGTAAGGTATATTAAGGATGAAGAGGGAAGAACTTTAGTTACAGATGATGAAATTAAAAATAAATGGGAGACTTACTTTTCTAAAATTTTCAATGATGGAGAGGGTTCATCTAGTAACTTGGAGGATTTAGTAACTAGTGAAGGAGAACAAAATTTGTCATTCTATAGAATAATACGTGGTAATAAGGTAAAGGAAGCTCTTAAGAAAATGGCAAATGGTAGAGCCAACGGACCTGATTGTATATCTATTGAAGCGTGAAAATGTTTAGGTGAAGAAGGGGTGAGATGGTTAACTAAGTTATTTAATGTGATTTTACGGTCCAAGAAAATGCTTGATGAGTGGAGTAGAAGTACATTAATTCCTATTTATAAAAATAAAGAAGATATTCAGAATTGTACTAACTATAGAGGGATTAAACTCATGAGCCACACAATGAAATTGTGGGAGAAAGTAATTGAGCACAGGTTGAGATTGGAGACAAATATTTTTGAGAATCAGTTTGGTTTTATGCTAGGTAGATCAACTACAGAGGCAATTTATCTACTAAGGGGATTAATGGAAAAGTATCGTTGTAAAGATAAAGATCTACACATGGTTTTTATTGATTTGGAAAAAGCTTATGACCGTATACCAAGAGAAGTGCTTTGGAAAGCGTTAGAAAAAAAGAGAGTACGGATTGCTTATATTAAAGCCATACAAGATATGTATGAGGGGGTAAAAACTAGTATAAGAATGCCTAGTGGTCAAACAAAGAATTTTTCTATAAAGATTGGACTACATCAAGGATCATCTTTGAGTCCTTATTTGTTTAACTTGATCTTAAATGTTTTGACGGAACATATTCAAGGGAAAATTCCAAAATGTATGCTCTTCGCGGATGATATAGTTCTTATAGAAGAGACAAGAGAAAGGGTTAATTGCAAACTTGAGTTATGGAGGAGGACATTGGAGTTGAAAGGTTTTTGTCTGAGTAGAAGTAAGATGAAATATTTATATTGTAAATTTGGTAAAGGACTATTCGATAATAATTTGGAAGTGAAATTGGGAGACCAAATTATACCTCAAGTAGAAAAGTTTAGATATTTGGGAGCCATTATTCAAAATGATGGCAAAATCAGTGGAGATATTTCACATAGAATTTAAGCTGGGTGATTTAATTGGAGAAAAGTTAAAGGAGTTATTTGCGACCGTAAGGTGCCTAATAAACTTAAAGGAAAGTTTTATCGCACTGCTATCAGACCGGCAATGTTATATAGTAGTGAATGCTGGGCTCTAACGGGACAGCAAGAGCATAAAGTTGGAGTAGCAGAGATGAGAATGTTACGATGGATGTGCGGACATACACGTAAAGATAAAATTCGAAATGAGCACGTACGCGAAAAAGTGAGGGTGGCACCTATTGAGGAAAAAATAGTAGAAAATCGGTTGAAATGGTTTGAGCATGTACAAAGAAGACTAAGGGAGGCACCAGTGAGAAGAGTGAAACATATAACTTTGAGTCCGATTAAGAGAGGTAGAGGAAGGCCTAAGAGAACACTATTGGAAGTTATTGAACGTGATCTCTTAATTAATAATATTCCTAAAAGCTTGATAAATGATAGAGCACAATGGCGTCTTGCAATCCATGTAGCCGACCCCACCTAGTGGGATAAAGACTTGTTATTGTTGTTGTTGTATCTTTTTTTATTCACAAATTATGTTTCACATTTTTCTTAAAATATTAACTTTTTTAATTTTTAGGCCAATTCTTAATGTCAATTATAGTTAGAATCACTATATTGTCATGTTGTAGCACTCGTATTTATGCATAATGATAATAGTATTACTATACACTCTAGAATATTACCTGCTAATTACTTAAAGGTGACCATAACTATCCCAATAGAAAATGATGCTGAGTTGCCACTAGAAATAACAGATGAGGATATATTCATAATTTTTGATGCTGTTGAAACTTATGTGGCTTGGCCTACAAAGCTCATTAAGTTACAGTGATAATAATTTATGGTTCTTTAAAATCATTCATGTTTTCTTTTAGCCTTACCAATTAATTTTACATTTTGTAGTCCTCAAAATCTAAAGAAGGAGTAAAGAAGCCAATCAAATTGAAGGGTAAGCCATTTAAAGGATCTACCTTTGTAACTAAGGCAAAGAAGACCGACATAGAATCTACTTAGCTGAAATATCCTTATCAAAATGCACTTGAAGTGATAATGCAGACAACATTTAAAAATAAGATCTCTGAAGTAGAATTTGAAAAGGAGATCTATGGTGAAATGATTAGCAAAAAATTAGCAGATGAAAAAATATTAATGAGATTTTGATCAAGGATTTGCTACAAAGCACACAAATTAGTTTATACATTAGGTACTTTCTAAAGTTTATTGTTTATTGTGGTATTTATTTAATATTAGTTGTGAATGTTTCTATTTTTTCATTTTAGGTGCTTGTATCATACTTTTGTAGTGCCAAGCTCATTGATAGCAAAATCTTTATTTATTAGCCCTCATAACACTAGTACCTACAGTGTTGAGTATCATTCTCAAAAGATTATTGATGCATTTAAAGCTAAAGGCAAAAGAAACATGTTATTTTTAGCTCCTCACAATTCAAGGTAAGTTGTTATTTTTATTTATCTTTAAATTTAGTTGATATTTTAGTTAATGAAATATTTTATTTTTTCAAGCAATATTAGGTGCTTGTTTGTATCAATCCATTCCTCCCTGCGATATATTATCTTGACTCATTAAACAGTAGTGACTTTAAGAACTACAAATCTATGAAGATATTATTTAATCAGTAAATTTTTAGTTATATATTCTTTATATATGTTTATTATAACAATTAGTTTTTATTTGATATGCTTAATCATTATTGGGTTGTAGCACGTTACCGAGGTAGTGAAGGTCTCCCCCTAAACACTGAAAAGCCTAATTTTGTTGAGTTTTATACATGAAAAAGAATAAAAGTTTGTATTATTCTCTTAATAAAACAAGTTGATATGTATCTAAATGATTGTTTGATTAATATTTTATGTATGTTATTTTGAATATGCTGTTCTAGACTGATGTACAATTTTTGAAAAATTTTGGAATGTCTAAGTTATAGGGGAGACTTTACCGGATTTTCAACAAGAAATACTTGTATTATATATATAACTTCATCCCTAAAATATTTCAAATTAATTTAAAATTTGTTTCTACTATATTTTGATAATGACATCTTTTATTATTTTATAGGTACTGACATAAGTACATGGTTGGAAATGTGGATACTATGTTATAAAGTTTATGAGAGAAGTAATCACACAACTAGAGTTGATGATTCTTGAAAATGTAAGCTAGAAGCTTTAAAATTAAATTAATATAATGTTAATTTCTTATATGTTGCTTTCATATCTTATGTAGTATTTTGTTAGAGTAAGAGTCTCGCATTTTACTATAGAGCAAATAGAATATTTAGTTGATAAAAACTTAGATTTCAATGTTAGAAAAATACCAATAGTCTCATTTGTTAGACCTGTTAGAAATTAAACTAGCTAGTTAGGAAATTAAAATTGTTGTTTTGATTTTAAGTTCTTTCCTTTTATATAAATTTTATGTTGATATTATTTTTGGATTAGTTTTTGATAGTGGGATTACTCATTTTTAAAGAGACACAAAGGAAGAAATTTCAGAAAATGTATATTAAAAAAATAAATACAACTTACAGGAGCACTCCTGTAAATTTATTAATGCTTATTTACTTCCCGCGTATTGACATATCATACAAGAACGCTCTTCAAACGAGCGCTCACATATGACAATTCTACAGGAGTGCTTGTAGGCCATTTTTTGCTTACATATGTGGGAGTGCTTTTAAACAAGCACCGCTGTATCTAATACATATAGGAACACTTTACAAAGTGCTCTTGAATATTCCAAAGTGCTTTACTAAAAAAAAAGTAATCTTGTAAGCTTATTTTGTAATAGTGTTTTCATTACAAAGGAGTAGAAGAAGTATGAATTAGCTTTGAAGAGCGATATGAGCAAGGCATATGATAGGATTGAGTGGAATTTTTTGAGAGAAGTTTTGCTCAAAATGGGATTTGCTGTTGTGTGGGTCAAGCAAATTATGGGATGCATTGAATCAGTGAAGTATAATATAAATAGCATGATATAAATAGTATTATTACAAAATTACTATTGCCCCTCTCACCCTATAAACTAAAAACATCATCAAATTTATTGATTTTATAATTATTATTTAAGAATAAATATTCATATGTGTGATTTCTCTCATCTTACCTTTCCTCAAACAATATATGTACGTATAATTAGAATACGGACTACCAATGTTTTTAAGGTATATAATGTAACTAGATAAAATTCATATATCACATACAATGACATTAATTAGACAAGCTATAATATAATGAAATTTACAATGCAATTTAATCTATGAATTTTCCCCAACATTGAACGTATAAAATACAGATATATATATATATATATATTGAAACTTATTATTCATAGTGCACTCCCTTCATTTGAAAATATTTGATTTAATTTTAAATGTTTACTTAGAAAAAAATAAAGTGCTTTAGTCAAGTAACAAAATTTTAATGCAATTAATCTATTTATAAATAGCATACGTACCTTGGTCAATATTCATGGAATCCAAATTTAAGGGACGAGCGAATCGGATATCTTCTATGTTACAATGTTGTTTGACAATATAAATTCCACTCTCCTTTATATCATCCCCATACTGACAACTGTTCGAGAATGAAATTTGTGCATAATTCCACGCACCTTCTTTAAATTCATGTCTCATCTCATAATCTTGACAAAGTCATTCCCTCGAAGTTGATAGAGTAATATATGATCCTCTTTACTTTTGGAAAAATTGACCGATGGAAAAAGGAATAATATTACAGTTTTTGCAGGTTTTCCATTAATGCGCACCTTAGGCTTGAAACTTGCATCATCAGAACTTGGTTTGAGAAGAACACAATGACAAAGAGTTGGAAAGAAGTTACGAAACCAAAAAGAAATAGATCCTCCTTTCTTAGAGAGATCCAACCATTCTGGGGTGCTTGATCTCGGCACCATGAATTGGATGGTTCTATAAACCCCATGTTTGATCAACAAAGTCCTAATTAGTTCCTGTGAAACAAAAGAAATATGAGTGTCTGTATATGGGAGAGTCTCATAAATAATTAATGGATGTATAAATATTAAAAAAATCAAAAGACAGAAAAATTAATTACCTTACTCAACAAAAAGTTTCTCGACTCTGAACTCAACATTATGCAATCTGTTGCATCCAACACTCCTATGTTTGGTGGAATTCCTTCCACTTCTTGCAAATACTTGCACCCATTTAAAGAAAGTGCCTCCAAAAACCTGCATTCTTTTATGCAGGCAGGCAGAATTGTGAAATCACTATTGTCCAATATCAAGATTTTCACGTTTGAGAACCAACGTAGATAAATTTGTAGGCTCTTATTGCATGATATACTACATTTCTGAGGTTAACAAAACTTAATCTTCGAAATGGAATCACTTCCTTCAGCAACTTTCCATAACCTTCATCAAAATTCTCATATTGTTCTGGCAACAAAAAATTCATACTTGGTGGCTCGATTTTCCCACTAATTTCTATATTAAAAAGGTTAATAAGATTGCAAATTGATGGAGGCAGTTTTTCTATCCCAGTTTCCCTCAACTCCAATTGTGTTAGTTGCACTTTCTCTAGTATTTCTGGAAAGTATTTCAGGCTTGAGCAGTATGAAAGACAGAGCTGTTTAAGATATGATGACTTGATATAATAGGGAAAAGTTTTAAGTTTGGCACATTTATGCACATCCAAGATTTCAAGTCTTTTAATTCTCCAACCGAATCATCAATGGCAATTAAATTCTTGCATCCAGCAAGATTTAATTCTTTTAAATTTGGGAGGGCAGGTAAATTCGGTATTTGTGTAATATTTTGGCACTTTTTGAGATTCAAAACACTCAGAGTCGAGGCCGTTTGTCGAAGCTAAAACCATAAAAAAAATGTTCAATTAAAGAAATCATCAAATAGAGGGGTACTTATATCAAATAAATACAGATAAGATGATCAGGTCCTTACCTTAATTATTTCCGTCGGCTTTAAACAACTATTTGTCACTTTCATTACAAAAGTTCCTTTGGATGAAACTCAAGTGGCAAGCATGATGAAGGATATTCTTGCCATTCCAGCACTTTCAAACTGTTGGGTAAATATTGGGGGCCTTTTGAAAACTTTAAATTCTTCAAACTAAGAATTTTGAGATTTGGCATTTTCTTGAAGGCTTTTCCATCCCAAGTTACTTCTGTATATTTGGAAAACTTTTCTGAAGCTATGATCCTAACTTTATTTGTGCCCTTCAAGCAAAGTCAATAAATAGATAATAAAATTAGAACAAAGAATAGGATGATGTCCTAACAAATTATCAGCAATATCCTAAACATGGCAAATAATAAAAATCATACATTATTGGCTATACACACGTCAATTTTTTCGGGAAAAGATTATATTAAAGTAAAAAGATTATAGTAAAATAACAGCATGAGAGGACGAAGACCAGAAACTAAAAGTCGAAAAGAAATAATACTCATGTAATTAATTTCAATTATAAAGTCTTGATGTTGAATAACCATTATTCACTTAAGGAAAAAGCGTAAGTTAACAACTTAATGGAAAATAAGGAAAATAATTGTAAATGTCATGAACTATGATTCCTTCAAAATATATATATATATATATGGTGAAAAGAACAATAAAATTATAAGGCAAAAAAGGGAGAAAAATTTTATCTATCCATATAATATATGCTTACTGTGTTATAGAAAAGGAACAACTTATAAGGGGAAAAAATAAATCTCATAAATAGTGATGCCACCAAAATTCAAGAAATTATGCAAGGAACAATGAGATTATAGAGAAAACAAGAAAAAACATATCCCAATTAGTGTTACTTGTAGTTCCTCCAAATCATGAACCAGAGGAAAACAAAATCAAGAAGCACAGAAGAAAATAATAATGAAGTCCTAATCAAAATTTTCATGCTGTTACAAAAAAAAAACCAACATTTATATAAATCAAAAGCCATTCATTATTAGATATTTGACTTTTAGCTTCTTCTTTTTGGTATTTTTCTAATCTCAACAAAGACCATTTGTTGTATTTTAACCCTATGTTTTAGGAAGCATTCTTTAGTCATGATTCCAAGTTTATGAATTTTTTCCCTAATCAAGCCAACAAAAATCTTACTGTTAAATGAATACAACCCATTATGACATATCATAAAATAAATAAAAATTATCTTCCTAATCGAAATCAAGACAAGTATGATAATACAAATAGAGGAAACAAATTAAACTTTAATGAATAAGTCCTGTCAGCGTTACTAGTTATAAAGTCTTTCTTCCTTTGTAAGTTTTCTTGAAGACCAATCCATTTAGCATGATCATTCTATTTGTTTCGGTCATTTATTCAAACTATCAGCATGCACTTCCTAATTTAAAAGCATAATAGGTCGCATGAAGAAAATAACAGCAAATCATATGTTTGAGCGGAAAATAAAAGAAAGTAAAGGCCTGTTTAGTTTTTATTTTCTAAAAATATTTTCTTTTTTTAAAAATAAAAAAAATTAAAACTATTTTAAATAAGTGTTTTGGATTTAATTGCTTTCAAAACTTTTTTTATTTTTTTAAAATAGAAACATCTTAAAGTTGCTGTTATTTTACTTTTTCTTGTTTTTTCAACACATTAATTTGACACTATTAATCACTTGCAACTATCATATTAACTTATTTTTTAATTCAAAATTTATTTTTAAATTAAAATAACCAAACAAATTTTTATTTTGTTTTGTTTTGAAAGATAATTCTAAAAATGATATTGCAAAATAGTCTCTCAAAATGAAAAATGAGAATAGAAACCAAACAAATCTTAAATAATCCAAATTAGTGCTACTCACTATATTTTTTTCCAAAGCTTGAACAATATCTTGGTCCAGCCATAATCTAGTGTGTCTTCCAGGCTCCTTTAGTGATTTTTGTCGAACAATTTCTCTTCCCATAGCTTGTATTAAATCGTGCATCTTGATATAATCAACCTCAATCTTTATCAGGCATTTGTCTAACAACACACTAATGCTATAGTTTGGATCAAAATTGTGAACATGTTTCTCCATTTCTTTGACATCGTTCAATGATCTTGCTTTGAAGAGTTCATTGAAGAAGCAAGCAATATCAAGAAAAATTTCTTTTTCAGCTTGCCCTAAGCCATCATAGCTTACTTTCAATGTTTGATGAATGTTTTTATCAGGAATTCTTTTATACAAATTTAATGCAGATTCCCACTCCTTTATTGACTTTCCTTTCAAGTTGGAGCCTATAACTTCAAGTGCTAAGGGAAGACCTTGCACATAACACATCACCTTTTCCACAACTTCCTTGTAACTTGCATGAACTTGCTTGCTTCCAAAGGCTTTCAAAGTTAATAATTCAAGAGATTCTTCATCATTCAATGCCTCCATCTCATATTTTCTCTCAACTCCATGGTTTACGAGTAAATGCTTGTCCCTTGTCGTAATAATGATCCTACTACCAATACCAAACCAATCACAATTACCAGCTAACTTTTGCAATTGCTCGTCCCCATCAACATTATCAAGAATCAAAAGGATTTTTTTTCGTTTGAGCCTCTTTTTTATAATTGCAACTCCTTTGTTTACATCTTCAATTTTTATCTCCACCCCTAAAATGTGTGAAAGCATTTTCTCTTGCATTCTTTCTAAGCTACTTGAGTTTGCTTTAATGTCACTGAGAAAGCATGAACTTTCAAAATTATCTGTCAATGAGTTATACATGACACGTGCTATAGTTGTTTTACCCATGCCCCCTATTCCATAAATTCCAAACATGATGACCTCTTCTTTTGATCCAAGTTGTAATTGAGACTTTATTTTTTGCAATCTATGGGATATTCCAACAAGATCATCCTCAATATGTAACGGGAGACTACTATTGATTATGTCAGAGATTTCTTTCACAATCTCTTTAATTGATTCATATTCATATGGACCATGCCTAACAAATTAAAAATAAAATTGAGAAAAATCACAACAAATTCATGTTTACTATGCAAGTAATTGATAATAATTTTCTTATAATCTAATATGAAGCTAGGTAAAAGAAAGGATTAAGGGTCAATTTTGCCCTTTAAGTATATATGAAAAGTCACAAATGATCATAAACTCAACTGTGGGTAATTTATATTCCTCAACCTTAAAGATTCAACCTTGCCATTTATTGATTGTGTTTTGATAATTAGTTGCTCTATAGGGCCCACAATTTTAAATTTTTAATATTTTTATTATAAATATTATTAGTGGATCAGACATTATTTTTTTAAATTTTTATCCCCTCTCTGTCCTCTCCTTCTATCTCTCTCTCCTCTCCCTCTCTCGGCAACCATCTCCTCTTCATCAAATTATTCTCATCTCTTACCGTCCTCCTTGTCCTTCAACATGTCCTCATCATCTTCATCACAGTCAACTCGCTCCTCCTTCTAGACGCACCAAACTTAATGACTGAGTGATAAAACCATGATGGAGTGAGGAAGAAGCTCTAAAAGGTTCAAGGGATTCATGATGTGGATGAGGAGTTCAATGATCTCGTGGTGGCAGTGAAGCATCAAAGCAAGTGAAGAATCCATAGCAAAACCAATTGCAAAGAATCAATGTGATCTTGTTCTAGGTGCTTGTGTTGTTCAATTCAATTAGGTTCAGTTACTGAGGAACACAATCATAGGATCGACTTTGATGAACATCACGTCGAAGTTGCTGTGTGCATGATACAGAGCACATGCAACATGAAGAAACCTCTCAAATACGTCACCCTCCTCATCTTCTTCATCTTCTCTTTCTTCTGTTACTCTCTCCATCAGGTTCATGGTGGCTTAGTTTCAATACCCCTATCATCTGCTATTGCACCAAAACCATCCACGTCGTCTGATAACCTGAATAACAATCACGAGGAGAGTGGGGGCTTTTGTTGCTTCAAATATGGGAGAATAAAGGATGAAAGAAGCATAAGGAGAATGATGAGGTTGAAGGAAGAGCTGTTATTGGACGAGGATGAGGAAGAGAGGGGGGAGAAGAGAGAGAAGAGAGTGGACTCGACTCATCATAGATATTACTGGCTTGCTTCATCCATTTGGCCTTACTTTTTGAGGTGCAGAATGTGACGAGCAGAGTAGTGTGTGCAAGCAGGGAGAAGGACAGAGAAAAGTAAGTAGGGAAGAGAGAGAAGTGACATGATGAAGGAAGAGAGAGATTATCAATGGGGCTGAGAATACGAGTAGCGTGGACGTTGAATCGGTGCTATATAGCAACCTGGCAATGAAGGAGGCGGCAATTGGTAGTGGTGAGGCTAGATGAGCTCTGGGGAGAGAGAGAGTGAAAATGTAGGGGGAGGGAGATGAAGTTGCCAAGAACCCTCCGAATGCCATCTTCCATGCCAAGAACCCATGTTGCCAAGTTCACAGCCGAAGAAGTTTCTGCCGTGGTGAAGAACGTTCTTGATCCTTCTTGTCCAAACCTCTTGATTCAAACATGCCTCTACTTTTACACAAGATTGCAAAAAGAGAGAGAGAGAGAGAGAGGAGAGAGGGAGAGAGATGAGAGAGGTAGACGAGAGAGGGATGGGTAGGGTGTAAAAAATAATAAAAAATATAGAGCGGATGGATAATTAATCCAAGGGCATGTAGGAAGTAAAATTATGAGGTTGAGTGATAAAATTGACTTTTAGTTAAGTTTAAGTTCATTTATAAACTTTCATGTACAGTTCAAAAATAAAAATAACCCTTAACTCTAAAAGAAAAATTAAAGATTAATGGTGCAAATTACCTGGGTGTGAGATGTTTGCCACTGATATTAGCTATTTCATGCAGTGTAAGCTTCCAACTCCGCATCTTGTGTTCATCAGCTTTGTTTTTAATTGTATGGTCATCCAAAGCTTGAGCATAAATCCCTTTTTGATGTCGCACTTCTGATGGCTCCACTTCATAAAAGATTGGCCAAATTTGCCGTCCATCTCTCTTAAAACATTGATGGATGTGGACAAGTTCGTCAAGACAAAATGTTGAGGTTGCATAGTTTTTAGAAAACACACAGATAGCCATCCTAGATTCTTCGATTGCTTTGCGAAGTGTTGGAGTAATTACATCGCCCTTTCTTATTTCCTCATCATCAAAGAAGGTGCGAACTCCCATTTTAGATAGAGCATCATACAAATATCCTGTGAAGCCATAACGAGTATCTTCCCCTCTAAAATTGATAAAGACGTCATAAGTCCAATGATCATGGATGGAAGATGATGTTGGCGCTTGTGTTGTCATGATAGCTTGTCCTGGAGGAATGAAACCAACATATCAAAGTTTCTCCAAAATTGAGATCTGAACGAAGCAGCTAAAACAAAAAAACAAAAAAAAAAAGAGTTTGCTTACAGATCTGAATGAGTTTAGTTACTGTGAAAACCTAAATGAAACAGCTGTGAGGCATAATAAAGCAGCAATAGGAATTAACAAGAAGAAAGATGGAGTCTGAAATGGCTTTTCTTCATCTCAATCGTCCGTTAAAAGACGAAGCAATGGGAACAGTACGGTGAACATGCAGAAGACAAGTTTATTTATTCCGACCATTTAGATTATCTCACCGTTAAGAATGTAAATTACTTCATATTTATAATGGTAAGGAGGAGTAAATGATTGGGAAGGAGGGTGAGGGCCAAGTCAATAAAGCAATGAGAATGGAATGAAAGTGAATTTGAGGCTGCAGACTCGTCATTCGAGAATGGAATGAGAATGGTATGGAATGAGAGTGAAAGTAAGGGTGAGGACCGTCATAATATTTCTAAGATTTTTAAGCAATGAGACCGGTCAAATCACTATTGAAAGAGTAATGATTGAAAATGTAATTTAACGGTAATTAAACTAATCATAAAAAAACTATTTCATATCATTAAACTAATTAATACATTAATTTAACTATTTATTAGTTCAATTGAATGGATTAACCAGAATTTTCATACTATATTTTTAAGTGTTTAGTTTTATTTTTTAAGTATTTAAAATTTCAGTAACTCTTTATAAGAATAAGTATTTTTTTATCGAAATAATTATAGTACTATTTTTTTCAAATTAAAAAAAATTAGAATTGAGGGAAACCACTATATCTCTATATATGTAATGGACGTATATTCCAATTCATTATTCAATAACACATATAACATTACAACCTACAGGGGAAGAAAACGAGTAAAATGCTCTTTCTTTTCTTTTCTTTTCTTTTTTTTGGAAAAAGATACAAATTGCAGTCACGCATTGATATTGGAAAAAAAATTTACAATTAGTTTGGCCTTAGAAAGTGGAAATTTTTGGGAAGTGGATGCTCTCCTAATTCTCTTTCTCTTTTTCTTCTTATCTTTGCTGGTTTAATTTCTTTTAACCAACAAATTTAATTCTTTTATAAAATAATTATTATATAAAAAAGAACTTTAATAATAGTTGCATACGATTATTAAAATTTTTATAAATTAAATCTTTTATCTATTTATTTATTTTATTTCCATTACAAATTGAGCAGGTTAAATTTTCACAATTTAAAATTATTTGTTTATTTTATTAAGCGCATTCTATCAAATTAGTTGAAAGAGTTGAATATATTTATCTTATAATTTCAAGTTCGAGTTCTAAGACATATAATCATGTCAAATAAATATGGCAAAGACATTCAAAGTACACGAGACTTAATAAGGCCCTATCCAACATGAGTAGGGATTAGTCTCGCATTCCTTATTCAGTCCAAGGTTGGAAATTAGACGAGAGAATGGAAAAAGAAGAAGATGAAGAGAAGAGGGGTCACGCACTCACGCGTAAGGGATCTGGACGCAAATTTTTGTGAATTTTACTTTGCATGAAAATTCTAAGAAAGTGTGAAATAGTACATAAAACAGGTGTCATGCCCGGATACTTTTCACCACTCATTCAATGGAAAAAGATATTCCTCTGTTACCACATATAAAATATTTTTAATTGAATTTATCTATTTAAATGCACATTAGTATTTCAATTTTTCCCCTAATAATTGTAAATAAAAAAATTTAAAGTAAATTTATGAGCATTTTTTTCTCCATTTTTAATGTAATAAGGGTATAATAATATATTTATTAAAAAACATATTTTTAATTTCTTACATTTAGAGACAAAAAATTATAGAAAATCTTTTATATGACAAAGGGAGTAAATGGGAAGCATAGAGCACCAACAATTAAATCAAAACCATCGAGATTAATTTTTTATTTTAATAAATATAAAATATCAAATTTCTTAGAAAGTGAGAAATAATACATCAAATAGTTGTCATCTATTTTTATATGACTGACCAGTATTATACATATATGAATTAATAGAAATACTCTATGTATCCCTTGTTCTCTTCATCCTATTTTGACATTTTTGCTACAAAATTGATGCCCCAATTTAAAATACCAATTCTTTTTTTTTAAAAAAATAATGATGATTTAAACTCTGACTATTAGATTATTACTATTCATAATACATTCATTTCATACTACCTAAACATTTTGATCTCTGTATTTGCTTTTTTCCTTTTATGTTCAAATTGAGATGATAATATAATACTCCCTCCGGTCCTATTTATAAGTCATTTCTACCAACCTCATCAATACCAATACAATAAAAGTACAAGGAATAAAAGTAAGTAAAATTTCAAACATGCCCCTATATAACAAATCTAAAAAGTAATGTCCTGTTACTTTTTCTCTCTCATGAAGGGTAATTTTGGAAATACCTCTCAAATATTACCTAAAAAGACGCACCGTGACTTATAAATGGGACCAAATACACCTTCTAGAATTGGACTTATAAATGGGACCGGAGGGAGTATATAGTTAACACTTCATAAATATGTTTAATTTTTAAATAAAAACAATAAATAATTTTTTAATTTGCTAGCTTAAGTAGCAATATTTTTAGAACAAGATAATTTAAATAAGCTATTATATGAATAAAGTAGAGTATAATAAAATATTAGATTCAATATTGTCTTGATCACATTTAGATTATATTATATCACTACTTAAGCATTTGAGCGGTGTGTTTTTATATAATTTACACTTGAATTAAATAAATGTAAAATTATCAAGTATTTAGATTGCAATTTCATACATGTTTGCTTTGAATGATTTAGTTTAAACTCAATCTCATTTATTTATTTATTTTCTATCTATTCTTTCAAATATAAGTGGGCCAACCTGCCAACCCACATGTTAGTCCACTATAGGTTTAAGTTATGCAGAACGGGTCAAAATCACCCCATATCTAATTGGACTCATTTTCTTCAACTTAATTCATCACTTTTTTGCATGTTAATAGGTTGAACTCAACCCATATTACCAGCCCTTCATAAGAGAAGTAAATGATTGGGAACTGAAGGAGGGTGAGGGGCAAGTCAATAAAGTAATGAGAATGGCATATGGGCAAGAAAGTGAGGGTGAGACGGAGGAAACATACACATATGGGTCTCATGATAAAAATTTTAAGATTTTTTAAATAAGTTATTAAAAACATTGGGCAAGATACTGGCTCCATAATTAATTATCAAAATCACATTTAAATCTTATGCAAATTGATTATAAACAAAACATTTCATATATTATTAAATAAGTCAATACACCAACTTAATGGTTTACTAATTTGGTAACTTGATTTAAGAATAAGTTTTTTCTTTTGCCAAAATAATAAGAATAATTATAGTATACAATTTTGTAAATTAAAAATTAGATTTGAAGGAAACCATCTATATCACTATACATTTAAAGTGGATATATATTCCAATTTTTAAATAATGACTTATTTTTTATTCAATAAGATATTTTTTGAGGTGTTAGATGTTAAAAATATATATATTTTTTAGTGTTTAAAAATATATATTTTAATGCCTTTTTTTAAAAAGTATCCCTAATGAATAAATCCTTTATATTTATTTTAGAGTGAAATACCCTATTAAATAAAAATAAATATAAAAAGATGATGTTAGTTTTAAGACAAATAACTGCTTTATTAGGATAAAATTCAGTTAAAAATGCTTTATATTTTTTAATGAAGAAAATATATTATATTAAATATTAATTAGTCCTTGAAATTTTGGTTCATTTTATACTAAAAGATCATGTATTTTAGTATATTAACATAAATATTTTCTAAAAAAATTAAAAATATTCAATTTTTTGTATTTTTATTATTTTTGACCTATATAATATCTCAAAAAATTCAAAATGTATTTTAATCTTGATTTTTAAATTTTAAGATCCACAATTTTTTTTTAAAAAAATTATCTTCTACCTTTCTTAATTATCTCAAAAATATATTTAACATTTTTATAATGTAAAAATAATTAATTTTAAAATAAAAAAGAACAGGTTGTGGGTCAAAAAAAAAAAAAGGATAGGTCAAGCACTCCTCCGCACCATCCTTGTCGGCCAAGGTACTCATCATACTACAACGCATCTCGAGGTTGACAAGTCATTAACTTATGTTTAGAAAATATAAACTTTGAACTCAAAAGTATATCATATTCTTTCTTGAAATTAACGATGATGATGGCCTTGTACATTGAACAATGAAACCGCGTATTCTGCATTGTTAGACTTTTTGCCCAAACTCTCTGTTCGCTTTTCATTGTTGGAAGGTAACGGTAAGGATCATTCTCGTTATTCATTAATTTGAAGAAAGAATATAATATACTTTTGAGTTTAAAGTTTATTTTTTTTCCAAAGAAAGTTAAGGTAATGACTTGTCAACGTCGAGATGCATTGTAGTATGATGAGTACCCTAACTGAAAAAGAATAATGTGGATGATTGCTTGCCTGTGCTTTTTTTTTTTTTTGACCAACAACCTGTCCTCAAACCAGTGATTTAAGCAGGGAAAGCTTATTTTGAGTGGACTCAATTCAAGTGATCAACATATTTAAAATAACTTAATAAATTAATTTTTTTTGGGTATTTTTTCTCATATGAGCCTGGTTGAAATAAAATGAAAAAATAACAATAAATTTTTTTCTAATTATATAAATAATAATATGATATCTTAAAATATTATAATTTCACTAAAGTCTCAAAGAAATTTTGTGTTAATAAATTATAAAATAAAAATATCATTTTACCTTTATAAAACATAACAAGCCCCAATTATAATTGTTACTTAATGAATAATAATTTCTCATTATGTGAATCGCAAGAGTTAAATAATAAATCATAATTTATCAAGTGTAATTTTTGTTATTAAAAAAATAAATTTTTAAAATAACAAATCTCAATCACAACTTTTTTTACAAACAATTAAAAATTTTATTTAAAAATAAATATTTTTATTTAACAAATCGTAAAAATTAAACAAGAAATTACAACTTGTCAAAAAAAATAAAATTATCTTTTTAATTTTAAATTTATTGGCATAAGTTCATAGAAACTTCAATGAAATTATGACATTTTGAAGAATTAAATTATTATTTATATAATTTGGAGATTTTATTATCATTTTTCAAAATAAAATTAGTGAAAATGGATAATCTTGTTAAGATTTTTATTGTGAACATCTTCATGAATC